TTCAGCTCATGAAAAATGGGGGCAAAAACAAAAGTGTTGCGTTTATAATTTTGTTCTATGTATATATAAATACAAACACATGCATGTATATATTTAAGAAAAATATGTTATGTTTATATATTAAATATATTTATATATAATATAAAATACAATAATATAAATATATAAATGTATATACATGTGTGTATTTATATATACACAATAAATAAACCCACTACACACTCATATATTATGTAAACAAAAACTTTTATTTTGGATGCGATTAATCGTTTGACAGCACTAGTTTTTACTATATTTTTAATCAAGTAAATGCAGCTTTGGTGAGACTTTTAAAAAGAGGTGTCATTAAGAAACTTTTGAACGATAGAGTATAATAACTTTTTATATCTAATATATTTGTGCTCATATTATAATACAGTAAGCATAATCATTAGAGATGAAAGAACACAGTGTGTGCTTCCAGAAGATCTTTCCAGAGAAACAATCTGACATGAACAAGCTCCAAGCAATAAATGTACAGAAACAGTCCCTCAAGTATCAGGCTGTCAGCTGAAGTAGAAGGAAACTTTGATGTTGTTTAGCTCGCACGCTTCACAAACATCAACCCCAACACAAACGTCAAGTGTTTGGAGCAGTTCTGTATTGCAGATTACTACAAGAAACTTGTGAAATCAGTGTCTCTTTTGTCAGGGTTTTATTCTGTCTAGTTAATTAAGGCTTGGAAACACACGTCCTTAGTCTCTGTTAAATTCTGACGTTCGTTCTTAATTTGACCTCTTTTGTTTCTTTGATAGCTGCATGAAAGGCCCCACATTCAACCAAATGTGTGTCACTTCTTGCTGAGGTCTTTTCTTCTCTTTTTTGGGGTTTTCAGATGTTGACGGAGCCTGATAACGTGACGACAGTGAGACTCATCTTGCGACAGCCCTCCTCCGAATGGCTTAATTTCAGCATTGAGGAAATTAACATTTACCCGTGTGCAAAAGAGGTTTGCATGTACAAGATATTGTTGTTTGTGTCACAATATAAAAGGAACTGCAAAATTATGCCTGCAATTGGATTGTATGTTAAACCAGATAGATAGATGATAGCTAGACAGACAGACAGACAGACAGACAGATAGATAGATAGATATTGTTTTGATTTGTTTAGTTTGAAGAAGTACCAAAACAGAATTAATCAGTGGATGTTATTTTTCTTTTCTTTTTATGTTTTATGTTGTTTGTTTGGTTGGTTTTCTGTGTTTTTGTTTTAGTTTTTTGTTGTTGTTTTGCATTTTGTTTGCTTGGTTTTTGTTTTGTTTAAACCTACAGAGTTGATCAGTGGATGTTAGTTTTTTCTTTCCAACACTCCAACACTTACTTTGGTTTTCTGTGTTTGTTTGAAGTTAATTTTATGAACTTTTATTTTGTTCTGAAATTTGTTTGCCAATTCTGTTATTATTTATTTATTTATTTTGCTAGATTGTTTTTTGTTTTTCATTTTGTTTTAATCAGTATTTGACTAAAACCTTGATGTGTTGTGTTTGTCTGAGAAGGACTCGGAGCGAGACGTTCCTGCCTGGATATCCACTCTCACACCTGTAGAGGAACCTCTTGATTTGAATGTGAGTATTTTGTGTCTTACTGTGTAAGTTTGTTGTATAATGTGCAACAGCTGTCATCTAATGAATATTGAAAAACGTGTTGTTTAATAGCATATACAATGCTCCCTTGAAAGACTGTTAATGCCATTTCATTTAGCAACACACAAGCGTCTCTGTAGTTTCTATGTATTTATGCAGCTGTGAGGTGTTAATTAACGCCGTGGCTTCAGAACAGTCTGAAGAGATAATTACGGAAATGTCTGAAACTCGCAGGTTGTCGTTTTTTCAATCACTCAGCATTGTGGCCATGTCCCAGTTCTCATTTAGCTGTCATTTGCATTAGAAATGTAAGACGCTTGTTTGATGGTTTGAAAGTGTCTCTTAAGTTTATTGATGGATGCTCAACTTAATGTTTATTTAAACCGTTTCACCACCTGAGAAGCAGAGGAAGTAATCGTAATTCATAATTTGTTGTTTACCTGCAGTATTTCTTTGGAGGAAAAACACATGTTCAGTGGTAACTTTATAAGGCACTTATGAACTTGGAGTTTTAGGAACTGTGTGAATACGTTTTCGTTAATAATAACTTATTAAATGTTGTTATTATTATATTGTATTATCAGAGTTTCTGCAGGTTTTATGAAGGTTAGTTTAAGACTTTTTAAGACCTATTTAAGACCAAGTAAAGAAAATTCAAGGAATAAATTGAATAACACTACAATATGGTCTCTAAATCTACATGTCTTTTATTGGCAACAGTTTCCAAGTTTGGAAAGTTCAACTTGTAACAGATCTCAGATCTCCCTTACTTTTTCATTCAGCTTTTGGTTTGAATAGCTCTGCACCACTAGACTATGGAAATAACCATTGTTGGGGTAACACATTACAAGTAACAAGAGTTATGTAATCAGATTACTTTTTCCAAGTAACTAGTAAAGCATTACTTTTAAATTTACAATGAAATATTGTAATGCATTACTTTTAAAAGTAAGTTTCCCCAACACTGGAAATGAAATTTTCTGAACCTTCTGATCACACTGCAAAGCAAAAAAAATGATCCTCTGTATTTTTTCTTGTTTTCTGGTACAAATGTCTAAAGATTCTTAAATGAAGATACATGTTGATCAAAATGAATTGAGTTCACGATTAATACAAGATACGGGCCAACGGGCTCAGAAAAATCTACTTTATTCAAAGGGAAATAAAGTTTTATTACCCCGTGTCAGACATTTGTTCTTGTTTCAAGCATAAACTATATATATATATATATTAGAAAACAATACTTCATATGTTCAATTTGCATCTCAAGTTAATGTATTATTACTTAAGGATGTTTAGATATTTGTATTGGAAAACAAAGATACTGAGGAAGATGTTCACTTTTTTACAATGCATGCAACATTTAATGTCATGACTTTATGAATTTAAGACTTTCAGTTCTGATTTAAGACCTTTTGAGGCCTTAATTTGTGGAAGCATGAATTAAGACTTTTTAAGACCTGCAGAAACCCTGATAAAAGACCAATACTCAGAAACATCATATGCAGCAGGAACAAAAAAAAAAAAAGGTTTTAGAAAATGGGTTGAATATTATATGTGCTTTAGAAGAAATATTTAAAAAAATATTGATTCTTGCAAAAATAATTCTCCTCCTCTCTATGACAGTACTTTACTGCCACTTGCTGGTCATAAATGAATCTGCAACTTCACAAATACAACGATTCTTCCCATTGTATTTTTTGTTTAATTTTGTTGTGTTTTATTTTACACACTCTGCTGGCTGGTGTTCTATGTATAAGCAAAATGCTAAAGGTTAAAAACGTCAGGGTGAGCAAAGATGATGATTTCTGAGTGCACTATACCTTTAATAAACAGAGCAATGCTGCAGTTAATGTTTGTGTGTTGGTTCGCCAGGGACTTCCTGATCCAGAGACGGTTTCCTCCAGCATTCAGCAGATGTGGGCACTCACTGAGATAATGCAGGCGAGCCAAACCGCAGCTTCCAGAAGGAAAAAAAAAAAAAAAAAGGTTTTAGAAAATGGGTTGAATATTATATGTGCTTTAGAAGAAATATTTAAAAAAATATTGATTCTTGCAAAAATAATTCTCCTCCTCTCTATGACAGTACTTTACTGCCACTTGCTGGTCATAAATGAATCTGCAACTTCACAAATACAACGATTCTTCCCATTGTATTTTTTGTTTAATTTTGTTGTGTTTTATTTTACACACTCTGCTGGCTGGTGTTCTGTGTATAAGCAAAATGCTAAAGGTTAAAAACGTCAGGGTGAGCAAAGATGATGATTTCTGAGTGCACTATACCTTTAATAAACAGAGCAATGCTGCAGTTAATGTTTGTGTGTTGGTTCGCCAGGGACTTCCTGATCCAGAGACGGTTTCCTCCAGCATTCAGCAGATGTGGGCACTCACTGAGATAATGCAGGCGAGCCAAACCGCAGCTTCCATCGGACGTTTCGACGTGAGTCGCACTTCTATCAACCGATATCATTATCCTTCTTTTGAACTGAATTAACATGTTTATTCCATTTGCAGGTGGAAGGCTCTTATGATGTCAAATTGCTATCGTACACATGACGGGAAAGCTGAAAATTGAACCATATTTCAAGATCATCGACTGTTTATTCAGTTTATAATTTAATTTCTTAAAGTAGTGACTTAATATTTAATATTAGAATTACTGTTTATATACAGTGTGTTTTATTGCTATTTTATTCTATTTAATGTTTATTTTAAGGTTCCAGAATATTTTAACTTATTTTACATGAAATTTCTGTCTGTCTGTCTGTCTCTATCTGTCTGTCTCTATCTGTCTGTCTCTATCTGTCTGTCTCTATCTGTCTGTCTCTATCTATCTGTCTGTCTGTCTGTCTGTCTGTCTATCTATCTGTCTGTCTCTATCTATCTGTCTGTGTGTGTCTGTCTGTCTCTGTCTGTCTGTCTGTCTGTCTATCTATCTGTCTGTCTGTCTATCTATATCCGTCTGTCTGTCTCTATCTATCTATCTATCTATCTATCTGTCTGTCTATCATCTATCTATCTATCGTATACTATGCTTTTTTGAGCCTTCCAGCACAGTATTAATATGCACAAACAATTTAAAATGAATTGGTCAAAAGTTATGGAGAGCCTGCATCTTATCAGTTGATATGTAAATTAGTTAGATTGCTTTATGCACTTGTGTTCTTACATGCAATAAAATAATCTTCCATGCATGCAGATGTTTCTCATTCATCTTAGACTCTGTCGTTTGTAAATAATACTAATTCATCTTAGTATGTAATTACATTGATGTACTGTGTAGCCTTCATTCTGAAGATTTATTGACATGTTTTCAGCACGTTATTAGATATTCTTGTCTGAAAAAATCATCTACTTGCCGAACTTCACTATCTTTTGACGTCTATTTTCAAATGATAATGAAATGCGTCTCACTTTGTGTTAATTAAAACTCAGCGGACATGTTCATGGTTGCCAGGCAGTAATCAAGAGCAGCACTGCTTCCTAATGCTAATCATTGGAAATCAATGGTCGGCGTCCAAGAGGAGCCTCCATCTGTCTCTGCTGGCATCTCGCGTACATCACAGAGAACATCGTCTATGCAACATTAGCCTGCAAATGGAGCTCCTTAACTCCATCCCCACAATGTAGGACAAAAAGATATTCCTTGTGCAGAAACCGATGGCTAATATTCGTAAGTTAGCTATCTTAAGCGAATCAACGTCGTTATGTGTCACTTTGAGTCATTTTATTATCTGCAGTGCATAAACGTTAAACTAGCCTACGTTTAGACGTAATGTTTTAAAAGCGTGCCGGATTTTATATGAATTCAATGTGTCATCATTATAACTTTTTCACAACACTTCTTTGTTTGTTTTGAATACGCGCCCTCTAGCGGTGAAAATTACATATTGTGCCTTTAAGTTAGGCTACTTACCAAGATTTGAACGGTTCATTTGCTTGTGTATCCAATAGATGGCAGCAGATAAACACACAAAACAGCTGACGCCTACACTGACATATTGATAAATCAACAAATTGTCGCCTGCTAGTGATGATTTTAATTATTTCCACATAAAATAGTCAATACGCATTTACTCAGATTCATTATTTTAACACCCACATTTAATCAATTTTGACGACAGACCATCAGTCACAAATTTGGATAGGCTACTCAATCCACTAAAAATGTATGCAAGCATAAGCTGTTAGATCAAAGTGTTTTTAAAAGGATAGTTCACTCAAAATGAAAACTTACTGAAAATGTACTCACCTATGGACCCTCTGCAAAACAGCTCATAAAAATGAAAACTTACCAAAAATATACTCGGCCTCAGACCATTCAAGATGTAGATGAGTTTGTTTACTTTTACTTTTACTTTTAGTCATTTAGCAGACGCTTTAACCAAAGCGACTTACAAATAACACACTTTCCTGTTTATCCCAACAAATGGCCAAGCAAAGCGCACGACACTGACAAGGTACGCGATACAGTACGAGACCAAACGCCATTTCATGTTTCTTCATCAGATTTGGAGAAATATAGCATCACTGTCTCACCAATGGATCCTCTGCAGTGAATGGGTGCCGTCAGAATGAGAGTCCAAACAGCTGAAAAAAAAACACCATAAACCACACTACTCTATCAATTAACGTCTTGTGAAGTGAAAAGCTGTGTGTTTATAATAAGCAAACTCCATTATCAATGGGTTTTAACTCGAAACCATTGCCTCTGGCTAAAACATGAGTCCATAGTCCATAATATTGCTTTCTCCAGTGAAAAAGTCATTTCATCTGATGGTTTAAAGTTGAAGCACCTTAATAATGGATTTGGTTCTTTCTCAAAATCTGTTTCTATGAAGAAACTCATCTGCATCTTGGATGGCCTGAGGGTGAATACATTTGAGCCCATTTTCATTTTTGGGTGAACTATTCCTGTAGGATAATGCTAAACATTTAAATGAAGTGTCTAAACTTGTAACTAGTATATGTGAGAGAGAAAAAAAATTAAATATATATATATATATATATATATATATTTGTGTTGTAGATCTATCTCATGATGTTAGTGTGGCTCGTCTAGTTGTTTTATAGTGTCTCCAATAGATGGCAGTAGCTAAACACGCTAAGAGCAAAGAAATACAGGCATAATTAAAATGGCCTACATTGATAGACTGGTAAAATCAACTAAATACCACCTGTTAGTTTAGCGGTAATGAATGGATTTTATTTCACGCAAAATCTCAGGCAAGACCCATTACTCGCCACATTAGGTTAAAGTATGTTCTGGGTTCAATACAATTGAAGCTCTATACAAGTTAAGCGGTATCGATAGCATTTTGGCATAATGTCAATTACCACAGAACATAATTTCGGCTGGTTTCTACTGAAAATGGAAGTCTGTGGGATAATTGTTCAAGCCGTAAGCAGGTAATTGTCAATGTGTTTGTTGTTTTCTGGTGGATGTCTTTTTTTGTCTTCTGTGAATTGACATGCAGTCCATAGAGCTTCTATTGAACCTGAAGCCTGCTGAACCAATATATTCCTTTAATATCTTCATGACCACATGATACTTAACATTTAACTTATTGTAAACATGGACATTTGCTGCAGGCAGACGATACGATTTTTCAGTTTGCAAATCTCAAAACAGAGACTGGGGATTTAGCTCTCATTTAAGTCTGAGTTCAAGCAGAAGCGTGAAATCGACTTTTACAAGATTTAAGCCCACAAAGGGAGAACGAACTTCACAAACCACCTGTCCTCATTCTGTTGAATTGCTGATATGCTAAATTTGCAGATGGAAATGAACCTCAACCAATTTGCATCTTAAATCTTTAAGTTCTTTGGAAGAACTCTGTGTTCCTCTTCATGGTGTTTATATACAATAGTCAATCTTCAAAAATGGCAACAAAACTCCATAAAAGTGGCATTTGGACTTATATATTGGAATATGTCAAATATATGTGGATGTTTTCCCCCTGGATGTCCTTTGAACCAAAAAAATAAATGGTACAGTTTCATCATATCATGTCTTTCCTGTGGCTAATGCTCTGAGGTTTGAATTAACACGTATAGTGGCACTGTAGAAGTCATTTGAATAGGAATTCATAGGGTGTCCTTTACAATAGGTCTTAATTGGCATTTTATCCATTTCAGAGGTTGGCCAGAGGACAAGTATCCGTCACTGAGAAGCAGAACATCATCCTGAATGGGATTTTAATTGAAAACGAATTATAGAGAGACTTGTTCCCGACTGACAGAGAAGATTTGTCTGGACTCCGCCGACAACTGGTATTTGAATTCAATATTGACATGACTTGTGCGATTACGCTTCTCGGGACGACAGATTAACTGTGGAGAAACAATTAGTTTCTGCATTAAACAGAAACTTCTGCTGAAAATGAAGCAATTATCTTCCTCGGCGAACTCATCAGGTCCTTTATTAAGTGGAAAAGTGTGAGGCCTTTGACCAGTATTTAGTTCACACTTGGTTTGCTCTCAAACGAAAACCCAGACCGTCGTTGTTGTCTGAATTTAAACGCCAAGAGGAATGCTTTGGAAAAGCAGTAGCATGCAAAATGTTCACCGGCGGTTGATGTCCGTTACGCGTAATGGACCCGAGCACGTGCCTCAAGCATTATGACAGTTGTTGTGGTTAAAGCAAGTAGTTATTCCCCAACAGCGAGCATTTTAACAGCAAGGGGTTGGACACTTTGTGAGAACAAAGCAATCAATTCCCACCCTGTTAAGAAGACCTGACTCATTCAATGCAAGCAGCTCAGGCAAACCTTTCACTCTTTAACGCTATCAACTCATAGTCATGTCTGCCTCCATCAGATTTTCAACTCTTTTTGAATCTCTGAGTTTCATTTCCTTCACATTTTTACAGCTAGGAGTCTTACATCTCTTTCCAGTCTTTAAAGCGAATCTCAGCTAGCACTATGGTACAGTTTTGACTCTGATTAGAGTTGTTAGACTCACCCTCATGTCATACCAAACCTGTATGATTTTCTTCTGTCTGAGAAATGAGAAATTTCACAGAACTTTTCCACACAGCGATTGCTTTAAGCAGTTTTTGCACCACAACTGGCATTAAAAGAAATGGTAAAACTAATGACCGTTTTCACTAACAATTCCCCATTTGCCATTGGTAGAATAAACAATCGTTCCATTGGCAGAAATCCACCCCTGAGTGATCTGATTGGCTAACACACATGGTTCACAGGCAGATTTTTTTTTGTTTACAAAACAGTCTAGGACTGTTACAAAAACAGTTTCAGTGCTCTGACAGGCAAAAGGAACAATTTATGTGAATTTTCCCTAAAATAATTGCTTATACACTTAAAAACACTTAAAAATAAAGGTTCTTTATTTGCGTCGATTGTTCCATGAACCTTTAACATCCATAAAACGTTTCCATTACAAATGGTTCTTTATAGTGGATAATGGTTCTTTAGAATAGAAAGCAACTCATACAGGTTTGGAACGACATGAGGGTGAGTAAATGATGACAGAATTTTTTATTTTTGGGTGAACTATCCCTTTAACATTAAAAATAGTGACTCTTTGAAGAATGCTACACTGAAATGTTCTTTGGGAAACCAA